CTCCCAGTGTTCCTTTTTTTAAATTATTTTTTATTTTTATTTGTGTGTGTGTGTTTTGATTTGTTTTGGTTTTGTCGTTGGAAAAATAACATTATACTGTGGTTCTTTTTACCTGGGTACTGTCTTTTACCTGTCTCCGTGTGAAGCAATTTAGTGTTGGCCATTTCCTCGGTTTTATTGAAGAATAAGGTACAGAACGACTCACCTGCATGTCTTCCTGCTTTCTGCTCAGCAGTTCCTTTTGCTTCCATCCAAACGAAATCTGCTCTTTCTTTGCTACAGCCCATTCAGCTCCTGACCCCCTTATTAGAGCTCTCAGCTCATGCATGCTTCTCTTCTTCACAACTTCAGGTCACTAAGTGACCCTACGAAAACACCAGAATAAAAATTTCCCATGAATTGCTGTTCATTTGTGTCTTGTGTTCATGAAGTAAGATGCCTGGCCAGATCCTGCTTTTTCTATGTTTTCCATTCATGGTAGAGAGCGATGAACTACAACTCTGCAGCCCTGAGATGGTGGCTGTTTGGTGAAGGGTTTGGAAGCTGTGTAGTGATCCTTGCAGAGAAACACAGGATAGGAAAAATCATGGTCACAGATCAACAAAATTGGGTTATATTTTTTCCTTTGCTAGCGTTGCTGGTAGGAAGCTGGATGAGCCAAGTAATTGCCCATCTTCACAATTAGTGTCCATATGGTCCCTGTTTTCTGGGTATCCTCTTTCAGTTAGCCATGAACTGATTTGTAGATACTGACCACTGTGTGCAGAGTCAAGGTGACTGGGAGCTGTTCACTGAAGAAGGAAAATACCAAGTACTTTGAAAATTTTGGTTCTAAGCTTCTTTAATTGAGCACCCAAAATGCACTGACATGTTTGAAAATGTTGACTTTTATCTCAGTTCCTCAGCAGGGAGCGGTGAAGATAAGTTCATTGATGTTTGTTGAAAAAAAAAACAAAACCCAACAAAAAAAACCCTCCCTCAAACATTACAATGAGAATACCACTACAGAAAACCCATGAGGACATTAATCATTCTGCATTCAACGTGAGGTCTGGATGCTCTGCGGTAAACGGTACATGCACCACACATTGGGTGATACAGATAGGATTAAATTTGAACAGTATTCACTAAGTGAGAAACATCCATCCTTTGTGCTGAAAAAGGCAGGAAACACATAAAAAAAAAAAAAAGTAATTAAAGATTGCATTGTAATGTGCATGCATGGGTGATCTTAAATCTAGAGTGTGCTAACTCCCTTGACTTGGGAATCCAAATGCTTTTTATAGAGATACAGCAAAACAGAAACCTTTGGGGAGTTGGCAGGGGGAGGACAGAAGACATCCAGCTAGGTACTAGTGTGAGCACAGCTGGACACTAGCGTGTACATAGCTGTCTGCTTAATTTGGGTGTACGTGTGTGTGTGTGTGTGTATGGCCAGCTTGGGCTTATGTGGCTGGCTGGTATTTCCTTTAGGAAAATGCCGTGCTCTACTAAAAGTAGAAGGTAGCATCAACAACTGTTTTAGATGCCTGAGTTTTAGGTGACAACTTTTATATGCAGTTTTGAGGTCCCTAACCTTCCTTTCCATTGCCTCTGCTTGGTTCTGAAACACCCCCAAATCAGCTGGACTGATGGGTCAACTGTTTGGGGGAACTTCCCTAAGCTGTCTGTAGGGCAGAGGCAGCATCTTTCACGTCTGTGCTACTAGAACAGACTGGCATAATGGGGATTCACCCACACCGGTATCCAAGGTGCGTGTGTATGATAAAAAACATTAGTAGCTATAATTTGTTATATCTGTGTTTGGTTTGATTACTGTCTTGTATTTGAGATCCTGTAATTAGAGAGGCGAAGTGCCTCCAGGGTCAGCGCTGCTCTAAGTAACACAATGCTGGTGTGAGTTCCTTCGCCTTCAGTAGGAGGTTCATTACAAAGAATGAAGGATGGAGCCCATGGAAATTAAACATCACCTCTTGGGAAATGCACAGCACAAAGAGAGAAGGGAAATACTGACGATCATCTCTCCCTGTTGAATAAATGGACTCAGCGGCACAGAGCCCGAGAAATGGGAAGCGCGTCGGCTTGCTCCGTCCCCTCCCCCACTAGATGGCACTGAACTCTTTTTCTTTAAAAGAAAAAAAAAAAGAGGAGGGAGAAGAAAAATATGGTGGAGGTCATCTTGATGAAAAAAAAAAAAAAAAAAAAAAAAAAACACGAAGAAGAAAAGCAAATTGCAATTGGTTCTCCATCGGCTGCCCTCCCCCTTCCAGCCGGCACCCTGCCCGCGTGCCCCTTGGTGTGGGCACCCCTGGCTTTTGTGTCTGGGCTTTTGTCTCTTGGAGGGAGGTGGGCGAGGGCAGCTGGAGGATGCTAAGCAGAGCTGTAGCAATCTGGGGAGCAGTGGGCAAGAGGCTGGCCTTAGCTGTAAGATGCCGTCAGCGGCAAGGTCTAGGAGGCAGCGCACAGGGCTCATCACAAGGAATTTGCTCTGAGCATCCTCCCCAGGCTCCGCTTCTCTGTCCCATACCTCCAGACATTTCCTCTGTGCACCCATGTGCGTTACCTTCCCCTCCGTACCGCTGAAATCACAACCTGCAGAGAGCTTCCATGTTAACCATTTACTAAAACTGCATATTCACACCCCGAGTCGCGCAGGCACCGATGAATTAACTCCCGTTGCCAAGACATCCTTCATTCACTGCAGGGTGAGGTTTCGGCATAGCACGCCCAAGTGCATGTGGACTTCTTCTTAAAATGCCTTTCCCCCAGCTTACGCTCATCTGAAGATCAAGAAGGATTGTTTTTTTTCCCCCTGTGGTGAGGCGGGGGTGGGGTGGGAGGCAGAGAATTTAATAATGATCTGTTTGTGCTGAGAAGGGGCTGTCTGTAATAATCCCGAGAAGAGACAGAGGAAAGGTTGGCGATGCCTGCAGCACGCAGCGCTCTGCCCCTCTCGGAGAGAATGAGATAATGATGAGCAGAGAGAAAAATGCTTAATTCTAAGAGTTAAAGCGGAGCTCATCTGAAACCCAACACTTTCTCCTACATTTATATATTTAAGGTGACTTGCATGAGGATATAGATTGCCATCTGATGTAGCTACAAATACGAGCAAAAAAAAAAATTAAAAAAAAAATGCATGGAGACTGCCACTGAAATGCCTTTTCAGAGAAAAAGATAAAACCTGGAACCACATGGCAATTTTTGGCTCTCAACCCATGTGTGTAAGAACAAGAAGAGGGAACAAGTCTGGTATCTCCCCCTGCAAAAATCCTCCTGTCCCAAGCTCTCTTTGTTCCTTGGAAGTAGGACAGAAACACCTGGCATCTGAATCGTACTGGGTCCAATTAAATTTTGGTTCTTTGGATGGTAAATCCTTATATTTAACTGGAAAGCAAATTTTGGCATTATAAACTTAGGCAATTTACCTGTCCCTAATTGTATCTTAGGCCAACATCATGAGAAAAACAGATCTAGTTGCTGGGTCCTCCATTTGCCCTTACCCCCATCCTCCAGTTCTGTAGTCTAAACAGAGAATAAACGCAGCAAACCCAGACTTACTTTAAAGCCTGACTCATGACAGAGTAAGAGAACCATTCAACCCTTTCAGCACCTGGTTCCTGCTTTTCATTGGCTGATGTGTTCTTAAGTCTAAAATTCAACAATTCTATCAACCAGAAATATGTTTGGCAAACGTAGGCTTGTGCCCTGTTCTTGTCCCCCAGCTTGGGACTTGATGCTAAAAATTAACAAAGAAATCCAGGTGCACTCTTGTCTCTGTATGGGCACAATGCAAGAAACCTGTTTGCCATCTTCTTCTTATAGGATCCCGGAGCTTTTTGACCACAAAGCTTTAAATTTTATCCCTGAACAGAAGACAACTATGGCTGCTCCAAGCCCATTATAATATTTATTTTTTTTTTACGCACTGGTATGTAGTTGCTTGAAAAATCCTGTTACAGAAGTTAATCTACCCGTGTCAGCTGTTGTATGCATTTTTTTTTAAGCCTTGGATCCTTCAAAATTTACCTTTGTTATGAACAGCAAAGGGAAGCTACTGCTAAAAATGTGAAGTGGTGCCCTGTTTCCATAAAACAATTATCTGGAGCTTTCCAGCTACAGTTAATATTCATAGCCTAACACTGAAATTTTGCAATCGAGCTGTTTCAGCAGATGTGTCTGATCACAGTGTCTGTGGTTGGGATGGATGACTTCCCCTTGTGAGCCTCTTGATCGTGCTAGGGGCTTGGACGATATGGTACACTTAAAAAGAAAAATGGTTTAGTGGGAGAGGTGCCCTTACATAGTCAGAAATCCCGAATTACTTGGGACCTTGAGTACCCGGTTCTGGTACACAAAGAGCTTCTCTGTCCCCATTCTGTCCTCCCTTCTGTGGCGAACACGATTTGTGTGGCTAGGGCTAAGAGCCAGCACAGCCCCAGCACTGCCCAAGAGGAACCACCAGCCCAGGGACTACTGTCAGGGCTAGATTTCATTTTTCGGATAGGCACAGTTTGGGCTGCAGGGGCCAAAAGTCAGTAGGATCCTGCACAGGTGTAGGTGTTTTTTTGCAGCACCCATTCCCGGGGAGGCGTGGGGCTGTGGACCTTGTGGTGCAGCGGGAGTGACCGCAGTGCTTGCAGTGTGTGCAGTGGGGTCCCTCTGCCAGCTCCAGGATGCTCTGGTACCCAGGGCGGGGTGTGCCAGGACCCAGGGCAGTTTTGGTGAAAGGGAAACGATTAGGCTTATTTCCTTTTTAAACAGCACGATTTGGAGTCTGGAGGCCTCCATTTCTGGATCACACAGAATCCAGGTCCTGAATCCAGGGTCAGCTCATGCTTCGCGTTACGTGGTAGGTGGGATTTTTTTTTTTGGTGCAGTAAGAAACAGCTACAGTTGTCTGGGATTTGGGTGGCACAACGTAAGGTCTCGTGACCAAGAACGAGCAGGATCCAGTTAAATCCAGGTTTTACATTTTCCCCGTGTAAGAAAGTAAGGCTTCGACATTTCCTGTCTGCGAAGTGGTGCAGTTTATCTTTAAGGAGGCTAGAGAAATAAGAAATGAGTCTCACGTTGCACGGGTGACATCACTGGCTTTTGGCTCCGTGCTCTGTATTCTCTGTCTGTAGGCTTTAGCCAAGGCTGCAGGGCTGAGTGTTTGAACAAGGCAAGATTCCCAGGTGTACGGAAGATTGGATTCACTCTTATTTGGGTTAAAAAACGGTGAAATGAGATTTCTAAAGCTCACGGACTCCAGCTCGCCTTCTGTTGCTTTTGATTTCTACAAGATGGGTGAGTTATTCCCAGCAGAGAGAAAGGGAGTGGAAATTTAAGGAGCAAAAAAAAAATAAAATATGTCTGCATATATATCTGCTGATGCCGGGGATACGGCTCACATGAAGCTGCTGAGCTAAAACCCTCAGCCCCTACGTGGAGAGCAGGCCATATGGCAGAGAAATGGTGCAGACCGAAAAGCTGTTGACAACTGTTAGGGGCTGCTTTCCCCTCCCCGTGTAAGGTGTGTAGCTTTTTTTCCTCCCTCCCTCCCCCTCTCACCCCCCCCCGGTTTGTTTTGGTTTGATTTCCCCCGACCTCCCCTCCCTGTTCCCGAGCATCCTCTCAACCAGCCATCGCTCTGCCTGCCTGCCTTCATCTTGCAGATGGTTAACGTGCCCCTGTGTTAGGAAAACTGTGCACAACAAACCGAGGCGGCGGTGACGAAGGAAGAAGCCGTTCAGATACCGGCGGAAGGGGGTGGAAGAAGGATGCTGGGGCCTGAGGACCGCTGCCAGAGCTGCCTAGCGGGAGGTGCGCGCTCCCTGCTCTGTGGCAGCGCATCCAGAGGCCCCCGCGGCTCCCTTGGTGCCTCTCGCCCTGTCTGGGTGCAGACAGCCACCGTGCTCGCTGCCACGGCAGGGATTTGGGGTGCTTGGGCTACGGCTGGCCAGGGAAGGGCTCGTTGCATGAGGCTGCCCTGATGCCAGCGCAGACAACGGGACCGGCCAAGTGAACGGCGAGGCTGGCGGAGAGGAGCTGAGGTGCCTTGGAGAGGATCTGAGGTGCCTCAGAGAGGAGCTGAGGTGTCTCGGAGAGGAGCTGAGGTGTCTCAGGAAGCCAGGATGCTGGCTGAAGTCTGCTAAGGGAGAAACCTGTGCATGCCTGCATTCCCAGCCACAGCCGGGGAGCTTGCGTTTCAGCCGCGATTTAAAGCAGCAGCAGCAGCAGCAACAACAGATTGCTCGCCCTCCTGCTCCCTCCCTTTCGACCCCGCTTTCAACCCAAGCCAGCGAGCGACCGTCCGGATGCTGCTCTTGCTGGGCTGCTGACAAAGACGAGGCAAGGCACCCCTCCTGAACCCAGGCCGGCCGCCCGCCTGCCTCAACGGGGGACACTGCTGCCTGGCGAACTTTTCTGTCCTGCGATGCTGGGCTGAAGCCTCGGGTCTGCAAGCCATCCCTCCCGCATCTCCCAGCTGGTCAGACTGAAAGAGATTAATGGACTGATCAAACAGCCGTAGCTTTCGAGCCTCGTCGGAGGAGGGGGTTGCTCCTTCAGCCCCCACAGCTCGGGTGCTCGTGGCGAGGCCAAGAGGACGCCTTTGTATAGGCTCGCTGGAGGTGGGAGGCTGTGTTTCCCCTCGCCAGGTCTCCTCCGCAGGGGAGCAGAGGCAGATGAGCCCCCAGGACTGCCCCCAGGGCAGAACTTTGTAGCGCTCCGGGCGTCCCCCCCCGAGCGTGGATGTGAGCCGCACGAGCTGGGGATGTCTGAGGCAGCCTCTGCCGAGTGACACCCAGCAGCTGCTCCGCAGGATTCGGCGTGGCCTCACGCTCAAGGGCTTTGCCTGTTGTGAAGATGCCCATGGTGTTTCTGTGAAGCTGAGGCATGGCTGCTGGAAGGTTGCTGCTGTATGCTGGCCTCTCTTTAGCTCTGTGTGCCCTGGGCATGCTGGCTGTGGCCATCTGCTCTGACCATTGGTACGAAACTGACGCCAGGAAGCACAGGGAGAGGTGCAAGAGCATCACCACTAAGAGAAATGACCCTGGCTTCATATATAACTCCAACAACAACCTGCCTCTCAGGGCCAGCAGGTCGAGGTTGGACCGCTGGGAAGGGAAACTCCTCTTGGCAAGGAACAGGAGGCAGATCTTTGCCATGAGCGCAGTCGACGAGTGCAACAGACAGTACAACTCCACCAACATGGGGCTCTGGAGGAAATGCCACCGGCAAGGGTTCGACCAAGAGCTGGAGGAGCTGATTGCCAAAGGTAAGGGCTGTTTTTACCAAACGGACGTGCCAGGCCCTCCTGAGCTGAGCAGAGCCCTTTGGGCTCGCAGATGGGAGCGGTTGTCTCCAGCCAAGCCCCTCTCCTTGCGGAGGGCGAGGTGGCTTGGCTGGGCATTGCTCCCCACAGCATCACCAGGGCCGTTCCCCACAGGGTCTCCACTGCAGAGACGTGGGGCTGGGGAGCAAGCAGGCAGTGGGGTCACCCACTGCAGACACACCCCAGAATGTCTCTTGCCTGTCTCTGTCTCCCTAAGCTTATTGCAGTCTGCCCATCACCATGGCATCCGAATATTTCCCACGTAGTAGTAAAGTGCATTAATAAAGCAGACACAGGGTATTTTTTATTTTATTTTTAGTTTGACCCTGCTGACTCAGGCAAAGTACATGTTATTTTATTGGAGGCTGCATGTGTCTGTATTTCATCATTCCCTTACCAAATGCCCCATCAGTCCGGAATTACACTATTTGTAGCGCTCACATGCAGGCATCTTCTGTCGTCAAATGGAGAGTAAACAAAGAGAAATGCTAAAAAGCGGGAGGAAACACAGCTTGCTGTTTACACTGAGCTGTTTTGGAATATTTTCAATGCCTACAAAACATTACATGAATTCATTGGTAGTGTTAGGAATCATTCTCTCTCAAAGTGGAGGTGCATCTGTTTGCCTGTAGCATTTTTGTGCTATTCTTTTCCTTGTCTTCTGCTCCTCCTTATTCTGTTTTCCCCAGACATGCCAGTTCAAAATGATGGCCAGTTCACCTCGAATGTTTCTTTGAAGTGTATCAAGGGGAGATGTGCATAAAACCCTGTCTATACATCCCGTCTATGAAAGATTTATGTATTTGCAGGATGTTTTTTGCAGGGGTTTCAGCTAGGGATGACAGCATCTTTGCTGCCCACAGCATGGTTAGTCCATGCAACAGAATAACATTCCCCTCCCATGGTTCTTCTGTTGCATTCAGATGTTTCTCTGGAGATTTATTTCCATCACAGTGAAATCATTGCTTCTTACACTGGGCAAGCTTTAAAAATACTTGTTTTCTACGTGTATTCGCTGTCCCAAACTCCCTTGATAGCCCGTGTTAATTCCCTCTTCAGGCTCTGCATGCAGAATTATGCTTAAGGCTGATTACTCGCGGGGGATATACTTTCACATGTGTTTGCCAATGTGTACATCTAGTTCCATACGTCTTACAAGGGAGCCATGGAGGTTCGTAGCACAGCACAGACCTGCGCTGAAGCCATGCACACGGTTGATGTGGTGGGGAACCTCTCTGTGTTGCCACTGACCCTTAATGTCCAGCTGCTATTTAATGACCTACATGGGATGAATTGGTGGCTTCAATCCTGTATGTAAGGGACAAGTGTCAGTGTCCTGGCACCTTGCTGCTTGTGCCAATGCTGAGGGATTCCTCTTCTCCACCTAGGCGAGGACGGGTGTGCTGGACCCGCTGTTGAGGGCTGGATCACTCTGCCACATGTGCTTCCCATGCTCGGGGCACAAACTGAGAATTTCAGCCTTGCTAGCAGGCAAACATTGCACCAGACCTCACCTTGGGCAAACAGTTTCAGTTACTGGAGAGGCTTTTCATCTTGAATTAAGTTAGAGTCATTCCTCTTCCACCACCCACCTTGTCCTGGGTTCAGGGATGTGCAGAACCCACCGAAATTCCCTGGCACCAGGCTGTGTGTTGGAGCAGCTCTGTTCAGTGTTTGTGATGGAGACAATGTGGCCTCGCACACTGAGGTGGCTAAATGCAGGAGAAGATAGGCTTCATTTTGGAGGGAGGATTTTACTGCATGTCTCAGTCGTGATGAAGAGTGTTGCTTTGGCACCTCCAGGTTGAAACATAGCAGAGCAAATATAATGGCATTTGGTAAGATTCAGCTTCTGACTTGTTCAGAAACACAACCTAGGATAGCAGTATTGTAAGATTGTTTATCCACTTAAGTACATGGCTAGATCAAAATGAATGGATTTTACTCTGCCTTCACCAAAAAGTAATGTAAAAGAATTGCCTATTAATAATGCTTGTATGCTGGAATCACTGAATTAGAAACCTGATATGTGTGTGCAGGAGCCATCTTTACAAGGGGAAGCAACAAGTGTCCCTGTTCCCACCTAAGGACACACATCAGAAGTTTCTTTACAATCCACAGCTAAATGGTGAAAGTGAAATAAGTACATTTGGCACTGCTGTCAGATGTTGAGAACAGCTACAAGTCCCAGAGGAGGCAGGAGTTGCAGGTTCATCTCAACCATGCTTGTCTAGTTTTTTTCCATGTCAGACACTCATATGGAGCTAGAGATTGCAGGGGTGGCAGTGTTTGGGCAAAACATACCTTGTGCAAACGTGAAGAACCACAAATGTGCTGTACCTGTAGCCATCAAATACCCTGGCTGGGGTGCATATTCCTGCACAGAGGAAATATCTCTCTGGGTAAAGCCAGAGCTCCAGGGCAAATACCATGTAAGAGAGGATGGCATTGGTACACGGGCCTTTTACTCTCCATCCTCTGCTGGCTGTTAATTAAATCTGGTGCACCTCTTCCGGAACTGGATAAACCAGTGAAGGTTCTGGCCCCAAATATTGCATATAATTCTATATGTAATTGAATGTGAAAGCTATTAAGGTTTTTTTTCTTTTTTTTACAGAAGCTAAGTGATCCATTTATTTAGAGACAGATCCCACACTTTTCCCTAGGCAAAACTTCCAGTTTTGAAAATGGTAGGTTTGTCTATCAAAGGATAATAAAGAAATAGTCATTAAGAGCCTAACTAGCTTTGCAAATGCCCTGCAGTTATTCTGCTTGTGAACTCTGCTGAAATTAATACAAGCTGTAGGCAATGGCTCATGGCAGGATCAGGCCCTATGGTAGTTGGCAGTATACCTGATACCAGTGGTTTTAAAAAACTGTTCTGTTTCTGAAGATTCCTGGGTCACTTTTGTAATTCTATTCTGTATTTGTTAGTTTTACTTCTGGCAAATAAATGAAAACATTTATGTTGGATTTTGCTGGAAAAGCTGGAAACCCATTGCATCAGATTTCTTATGGACTAGAGATAATATATACTATTGCGTATACAAAGTAGTTGGTTCCAGTTATAGTTCTCCTATCTATTTTTTATATCCCCATAGAAGCCAGGTGAATTTCAAAATAATGCAATTAGACTAAATAGGCAATGAGTTAAAATATTTTTTTACAACCTAAGCATAGTCAGGGAGAGGCAGGCAGACATAAGAAACCAAAGACCTGAAGAATATTCTAACACTGCATCAAAACTAGGCAATACGTTCTCTTTGTTATCAGAACTAAAAACAAAACAAAGCAAAACCAAACCATAAGAACCATAAATTCCAATCAATAAAGAGACCACTGGAGTCAAAAATGCAAATCCAGGGCCCAGTCTGGCTAACTTTTACTCACCTGAATAATCTTTATGCCTGTTAATGGGCTATTTGGACTGACGGAAAACACTCTTGTAAAGAAGGACCAGTCAAAAAGAAGAGGTTATGAAGTTGCTCCTCTGTTTCTGCCTTGGATTTTGATCAAGTCTTTTAACATCCCAGGACCAAAATTTCAGTCTTGATCCCTGAAGCCCTGAGCAGCCAGGAAATGCTGGCCCTGGTTTTGTCCAGCACAATGCTTCAAGCTTCTTCTGATTCTCAGGCATCTGTGCAGTCTCCTCAGTCAATTAAGTAGCCCTGCTGCTTAATGCCCTTTTGAATACAGTGTTCCCTATATCCTGTTAGATCCACTGGCTTCCTGTTTGCCACTGAGTTCATAGCAAAAGCAGCGATAGCCTACCAAAAAATCCCAGGGAACCAATCACCTCCAGCTCTACGTGCCGCAGAGGTTAAAAATGCAGGTAAGCATCCATTCATGGCAGGGGGAAGGCTGAGTTCATTTCCTGCCATGGCAATCTCCAGCTCACAGTGCCTCGCATACAACTCTTAGTGACCCCAAAAATAAACCTGCAAGCCACAGGGTCTGTCTGCATCATATGGCAACGCTGCTCAAATGCTTTCCTGCTCTAGCTGAGAAGGAAACAAGAAAGGATAAAAAGAAATTACATCGTTTAATTATAAAGGTACGATAAAGTACACAAAGAGGCTGCACAGTAACCAGAGACTGCTCCATTTTGACAATTACTGCTCAGAGGACCTTGCATTTCACTTCTGGAGGTCTGCCAGTTAAGCCTGCCTGGATGGGGCTCTGCTGCCTGCCATTGGAATCCAATTTTATCTAATAAAACCTTTACAGTGACCTTATTATTTCAACTCCCCTTTTACCTTTCTCCCTACCCCAAGGTCCATGGGAGCTGTAGTAAATCCTTTTTAAAAAACATTTTATTGCGTGTATGCTTACACCCGTGCCATCACTGAAAAAAAAAAAAAAAAAAAAGAGAAAATAAGAGAAACTAATTCCTGGGCAGCCTACCTCCGCACCAAATAGTATGCAAGATTTCTGAGATGAAAGCCTTCTCTGTTCTGATTGTCAGATGCATGGCACAATTGAGGAAGAAAGGCTTAACAAGACTACTCCATCCGTCACTAGGGATTATTTATACACAATTGGAAAAGCCTGAAGAGAGGCTACGTGCAGCTATCTCTAGGAGTAAAAAGATTCCTTTTCGTACAACTGCTTGCAATGCTACGAGCTTACCTTTCAGGTCTGTGGATTTAAGTTGTAAAATGTAAATTTTTGCCAGGCAAATTACAACAGCTGTTTTTTCATGTATCCTCCATACGTTTAAAGTATGTAAGTAAGCGCTTTGTTTATGTGTCTGAAATCCCTACCAAATGTACTCGTTATAAAAAGGACTTTATTGAAGCCTTGATTCTGATCCTAGTAAAGTCAATAGTAAATGTTTTATTGAACATGGTGATGCAGCAAGTTCAGGCCTTTAGTGTTTCCTTTGAGGTTAAAATTGTCCCCGTGAAGAAAGGCCAGCACAAGGTCTGTGCTCCATTCTGTCA